GGCTTCTCGAGGCGAAAGCAGGCGGGTTAAAGCGCCTCGGAGGAGGCAGTAGCCTTTCTTGCGCGCACCCCAGCCTCTGTGGCCGCTCTCCTGTCAGAGCAAGGTGAGGCGGTAGGTCTGGCTGTAGAACTGGGAGGGCGAGCGTAGGTAGGGTTTTCAGCCCTACAGAGGCACTCTATCCCTTTTCCTGAGGCTTTTAGCTCAGGTCGTGTTTTCCTAAAGGCTTTTTCTTTCTGACTGAAAAATCCCCAAGAGGGGTCTGAAGCCTTTTTGTGATTGCTGACACGGTGGGGCAGTGATGTGTGCTATACTGGAAGGGATGTATGCCTGTAAAGGCCTCATGAGAACTTCAGAAGTAGTATTTACCCCCCCGAAATAGTTCCAAAATATCTTTTGCGTGTAGCTTTTAACAGAAGTGGCAACTTTTTCTGTTGTTTTGCTGAGATAAGGCTGAGGGTAGGGAAGATTTTTTTTTTTGTTTTTGTTTTTCATTTCAATTCTTCTTTTGTTTCCAAAAGTCACACCTCTAGCTAAAATGTGCCCTTTTCTCTAATGGCTATTGGAAAACTTGGATTTAGCTAGTTAAAAGTATACCTGGAAGTGTAACCCTGTAACCTCCCTGATGAAATTTTGATGGGAAATGCACCTTTCTTATTTCATCTCCTCCCCCTTTCCCCAGTGCCAGCTCACCTGTCCAGCTCCTCAGCAGCTCAGCTCCAGAGCTGATCAGAAGCTCGAAGTTCAGGCTTCTGGATCCCTGCTTCTCTGGTGGCCTGGGTTTCATGGCTCTAGGCACATTGCCAAGGCTGACTGCTTTGAAGTTGAAGCTCCCAGACTCTATGAGCTCTCTGGTTCTTTGCCTGCCTTGCTTGTCAGGGCTTCCAGGTACCTTGGGGTGGTTTGTAAATACTTGAGACAGTTGAAATGAAATGTCATTCGGCCTTGCTAAACTAAGCTCTCGAATTTCCAGTCCGGAAATTCAGAGTCATAGTTTTTCCTTCTATTTCAGAATGAAAATGGTTTTCAAGCTGGATCTTCACTAAATGGGAAGGTGACTTTCCAGCTAATCTACAATTTATGTCTGAGGGGGAGAAGTGGCTGTGTGTGGTTTTGCTTAGGGTGTGGTTTTTGAGTTCTTGTTTTCACTTCTCCAGCACTGGAATCCCAACACAGTATCTGTCCTACTGCCATTAAGTATTGTTTTAAAGAAAATTAATATTCCTGTAAAAGACACAATTCTCTGAGCTAAGTTCATTAGAATTTTTCTACACCTTTGTGTTGTGGATAGTTTTGACGGTATGTGTATATGAACAGAACAAGTCCAGTAGTATGGTCTGAGAAAGTACAGGAGCTGAGTTGGGATACTGCCTCTTCTAATCTTGGCGCTGGCAGAGGACCTCATTTGTAGAAAAAGGGAGACTGGTCACTTTTTATGTACAATGAAAAGGGAGATGGTGTGTGCTAAATCCCTTTCTGCCTGCTCTCTTAGGAATGGCAGAACACGGGTAGAGAAGTCGATTGTCAGTGTTAGGCTTGGTAGGTTCTGTTCTCTGCTGCATGAAGTTCTTGCAGTTGAATGAGCAAGGACTCATGCCTTGCTTGCTTCTTGATGCAGAGGCTTAGTATTAGGTTGTCCTACAGGTGACCTTCAAAAACGCAGGTGATGTATGGTTTCCAACAATCCTATGATAATTTGTAGTGTCTCTGACATTCCTTCCCTTCCGATTCTTTACTCCAAAACAAAACAATCCAATGCCTGTGTTCCAATATGTAATTACTTACAGTGTGTTGGTTTTGTTCATGTTCTTAGTTGCAGATTGAAGCTGTCTGGTGGGCCTTTGTTGGTCTAATTTAGCTGGCAGAATAATGGAGGAATAAGGTTAGATGGAATAATTTTTAAAGTCTTTTGCAGGGGCCAAATCCAGTTCTCCTTCCTTGAGATTTTGGTGAGACTGAGAACGAAAACCAGGTCTAACAATGTGTAGTTCATTTAGTAGCTTTTCTTCTAGTTAAAGCAACTTAAGAAAATTTTCCATGTTGTGGTAAACTTACAACTAAATCTTTATTTACAGTTGATCAGTTTCAGTCATAGTTATGGATTTATATAGCAGTAGTGTTATGAAAAATATTTTTCAAAGGCCATAAGGGAGAAAATAAGAGTAAGAACTTTTAATATTTAATACTTCAATCTAAACTCTTCTGTACTAGTAACTGCAGTATATCTGAATTGTGGAGAAAATGAAGAATTTTCCTTTTTGGGTTTTTTTTTCATCCTTTTCAAGGATTATTATAAATGTGTGTGACCCCAGTCCCATTGAGGATGGGCACATGTGGCTGTGAGCGTTGGCATTTCCATTAAATCTGTTGATTACACTGTTGCATAATGTAGTTCAGTGCGGTGTACATGCATTGCTGTGTAGGCAAATTGTCTGATGAAGAAAAAGTTTAACATTACTTTTACTAACCAGTCTTAACACAGACTGAGAAACATGTAATAAAAATAGAATAGAATTGGAAGCAACTACAGGGCAGACTCATAAACTTGCTAATGTATGCGTGTCGGGGAGGGGGTATAGCAAAATCTATTGCGTAAACAGTGCGCATGGCAGTGGAGAAAAAGGAAAGCGTAGAGCCACAGCAGTAGCTACAAGTCTGTAGATAAGTCTCAGACATCTGCTTGAAGAGTTTGTACACTTTGACAAAATATTTTAGGATTGCAGGTTGCCTTGCTAATTAAGCAGAAAAGCTTTGTATATGTCACTTCGTGACATGAAATAAAGCTTCTGCAGGATGCCTAGCTACTTTGATTTTTATTGTTGAAATAAATGACAGATAATTGTCAGACCAATGTCTGCTTACTTGACAGTAGGTTGGATGACCTGTCCCACTCTGCCCCCTGCTTTTTTAGCTGTAGTTTTAAAAGAAGCATGTTTTTAATACGTGAACATAGTAAATGTTTGAGTATGCAGGTGTGATTTTTTTCATTGAAATCTTAAATCAAGACTTGGTCTAGTATTTATGCTGACTTCAGAAAACATTAAACTGTGCAATAGGGCACTTCTGTTGAGACTCATCTTTTTTGGGGTAACAAAGTGAAATACAAATGCTCAAACTGTGCTACTGAGTGTAGGCATGAATGGTAAAGCTACTATGTGGAAGCTGCTTCTGAGAACACCTGCCCAGAGCCTGGGTTCTAGGGGGGATGAGAACTCAAGCAAGTCATTACAAGGCAGATGAACGAGGGATGAATTTGCTGCAAGGCCAGTGCTGTGCTGTTCCTGACTGCATGGATGCTTTTACATGGTGGGGCTGACTTGCTGGACATGTTAACCTATATCCTGGTAGTTGTGACCCAGACCTTTAACCCTTATCACCTTGTTAGCGAACGGTGTTTTGCTTTGTGATTGCAGGCCTGAGTGTTGGGACAGCATCCTGCAGCGTTTGGTGGTGGTGAGCCATTCACTAACCAGACACGTACTATGTTAACTAGATCTGTTTCTGCAACAAGCATGAAGCAAAAGTGAACCAATGGCTAGTTGGTTGAAGAGGGGGCTAAGAGTACTGCGTTAACATTCACTAAGCAAGGTTTCTGTCTGAAATACCCTAAAAAGACACATATGAGGAATCTCTAATACCTGCTCTTACAGATCAGCATTCAAACATTTTCTGTCTCATGCCTCTCTTTATTCCACATTCTCTTTATACTGTTCTTTTTCTCATGATAACTGTTAACTGTTTTGCCTGTATTTCCCTAGAATTGTTCTTCATAATGCTGCAAAAAGTGACTTACCCAGCTCCTTCAGCCCCTTGTGAAAATGACATTTCAGGGATCTTGTTCCTCAAACCCAGCAGTGAATCTGCCTTTACACATGCATTTAAAATGCAGCCCTATTCAAAGTATTTCTTTTCAGTGCAGTGTCTAAACTGGATTGTTTGGGACGGGAACTATCTTTATTCTCTGTTCCATGTAGCCCAGACCCACATGTGGATTTCCTGGACTGGATAGTTTTGATATGAAGTGTACCCTGTGCTGTTACTTACTGAGGGCTTTGTTTTGAGTGGCTGCTGTGAAGCTATGGTGGTGTGACAAGCCAGCAAGGTAGTCCTGTGAGTACATCTCTGAAGGGAAGGTACTAGCCCTTCTACTGCGGCTGCTATTGGAACTGAGCCATGTGTGGTTAGTCCAGAAATCCTCCCTGAAAAGAAAGTGTTGAAAACTCTTCTGTGTCTGTGAAGGCACACTGAGTGGCTTGCGCAAGAGGGTGCATTTGGGAAGCTCAGGAGGAAAATCAGGGAGTGATGGGGAGCAGTAATTTAAATGTCTCCTATTCTTCCCTGTGTTGATTCTTATCTGGAAAAGGAATATTATTGTGCTTGCTAGAGGGGGAATTGTAATATGGATCCAAAATGTTGCCTGGGAGCCTAACTGCAATTGAAGGCAGAGGGAATTGCATCAGCTTTTAGGCCAAGGGTCTGGTCCAACCTGAGACTTGTAAGATTAATATATCTAATACATCTGCCTCGATGTCTTGGCCAAAGCTTATTCTCCTGCATGTGAGGATCCAGCATTAGTTGTTGATTCTGGACTCCCACAAAGTCACATAATTTATTAATCTAAACTAACTACTGAACTATTCCTTTTTTTTAAAAAAAAATTATTATATTATCATGCTAGAACTCCCAGGAGTTTGTTTTTCCCTGCTACTTGGGCTTGTAAGAAGCATCCAAGCATTGATTTGGTAGGTTTTCTGATTTTTATTTTCTGTAACTGAAAAGGTACAAATTCAAGTCTGGGCTTTTAGTTTTAGATGAGGTTACCTTAGTGGAAGTGAACCGTTCCCATTGTTTTGGGCCAGCTTATTGATATGGTCTGAAATTGCAGAGCATTCACTTGCTTCTAATCTTTTAGTTAAAGTTACTAAATGTAGTTTTGTCTTTTTCTTGTAGTAATGAATGTTATAACAATTGAAGACTATAAGAGCACATATTGGCCAAAGTTGGACAGTGCCATAGATCAGCTTTTAACTCAGAGTCCTGGTGACTACATCCCTATCTCCTATGAACAAATATACAGGTAAGGAAATTAAACTTCAAAGTGCTACATGACTTTTTTTTTTTTCTTTAAAGTTAAATTTTTGTTTTATCTTGCAGCTTACACATATGTCATATTTTGCATTTATGAGGAGGAAGATGGGAAGGTTATGTGAAGTATAGTATTGTTCAAATAGCTGGAATGAGTGAATAATAGATACATATCTTGACATCCCATGTTAACAGGAGTAAATGCTAAAGAAGTAAAATGCCTAAGTGCTGAAAACACTGACGTTAAAGTCAGCTCCTCCACAGTTGCTTAGTGTAATATATTAAGTGTATTAAAGTCTCAAGATCCTTTTCCTCAAAGGGGAAGAAGAGACTGTCATGGTAGGCAATTGACTTAATGTTTCAAAAGGCTTCTTTGTTATGTGTAATAGGAACCGATTTGGTGCAGTAGAGGTGCAGAAGTAAATGGAAGCAACTGGTGCCAAGGTCCATCTGTATAAATTGTCACTTGTGTGTTTTGCGTCAGGTGGATTTGGACCGATTTCTGCCTTGCTCAGCCATCTCTCGCTGCATGTGCAGTTAGAGGTTGTCTGAAGGACTGCCACAAGGTTCAGTCCTTTATATCTCCATTCTTGTCTGGAGAACATTTTATTTGTACCTGGCCTGGAGCTGCCGTTTACTTTGCTTTAAAAGGGATCTAGTCACACCAGAACTGCCCTGCGGACTAAGCTAGTGCCGAGCAGTGGGGATGGTAGGGAATTTGCTTCAAAACCACACTACTGCTCCAAGCCAGACTGCTAAATGCTTTAGAGTCCTGGCAGTTTCTTAGGAGATTGGCAAAAATGGAGATTTTTGTTCTGTAGGTGACAGGTACCAGGGTGTTAGTAAATAGGATAGAAACTGGATAGCTACTGCTATGTTTACTGGCCAAGATGCCATTAAAACTACTGGCCTTTGTCAGCAACAGAACTGGTAGTACTGCTATCCTGCTTTTCTTGACCACAGTGTTGCACTCTATGAAATAACACTGGCAGCAGAGTCACCAATTGCCATTTTTAGAGGCTTTCAGCTCTGTCTCCTGCCTGCTTGCTCTTAGCTGCTTTGTCTCTCCAGTTTGAAACTTTGGATTAGGGAACCAGATCCAAGGCGTTAGTCTTTCCTCTTAACTCCAGTTAAAAGCTTTAATAAACTTCCTCTTTCCTCTCTCAACTTTTGGAACTGCTGTAATAGGACTCGGACATCATCATGTGTATAAAAAATTGAGATGGTCAATTTGAATTGAGAGACATTTTGCAGCTTTAGTGTAAGCAATCAAAATCCTTTTCCTAGCTTGAAATCCCCAGTGTTCAAACAGGTGTCAGTAAGAGTTAAGCCAACATCTCTCTATAGTAATCTCTGATAAGGAGTGCAAAACTAATGCTTTAATACCTAGAGTAGATCTAGACCTAGTTATGGTTTTCAGATGACTGCAGTTCATCTTTGTCATCTCTTTGCTGCTCAAAAGTTTTATTTATTAAAGGAATAATGGGTTTTAAGTTTCTGGTAGGTAGCCCTCACATATCAGGGTGACAATTGATGCAGTATTTTAATGATGTGCGGATATCTCTTGCATGTGTTTTACCAAAACAAAAGATTGTCTGTAGTTTAGTGTTACTGATAAAGCTAGTGTGTCAGTGTAAGTTTTCTTTCAAAAATCATATCTGTGGATGTAAATACTCTGACACTGCCTCATCCAACCAAGAGGGTTTTTTATTTATTTTAGAGAGTGTCCCTTTGCTTGTCTTATAATCTAGACAACATAGACTGAGGATGGAAGAAAAACTGCTTTTTTGTTGAATTTAATGATGATGCTGGCTTGGAGTATTACAGTATTAGCAGACTTGAGGTTTCGATCCTCTCTGCTTCCCTAGACTAGTTCTTTAGTCTGAGTATGGTGTGTTTTCTGAAGTGGTTCAAACAGCTACATATCTCTTATATTTTTTTACAGTGAAACTGAGCTGAAAATACAGTGGTCTTTTTGATCGTCTTTGTGCTGACTAAAGGAATCAAGGTTTCCATAATGCAAACTCAAAATGTATTATTAGATACCCAAACTACTATATTTGACATGATCAGTGATAACTGTAGGTATCTACTCCACAGCAGTGAAAGCTAGGAGGTAACTTCAAAGGTGTGTATGCAGATATTTACAATGGATCGATTTACCCATAAGGTATCAAAGTGTGATTAGTGGTTGCTTTTATCTTTGAGTCCAAAGCCTGCCTGTGTGTAGTCACTTCCTATTAAAAGGGTTAAGTATATTGAGAGAGAGATGTGAAGGAAACTTTGAGGTGAGGACAATGTGAACAGCGAAGTGGTACTTCTGGCAACTGATACGACTGCCTCCCGGGTACAATGCAATCAGATCGCTGTTCTTCAAGACAACTTACAGATCTCAGCTCTTCATCCCTCTCAACAACTGCTTGCCTTCTAATGTCCTGCTCGTGTCTTCCTTTTCCTAAGATGCTTGGTTATGCTGAAGGACTAACAAGTTGCTGACTTCTTTTGGGTAATAGCAGGGCAAGGATGTTTCACAGAATCAGCCCGCAATCAGGAACTGAAAACAGGATCTAAAAATGGGGAAGGAACCTCTAAATAGAAGTGTTTGAATAAAATGTAAACACGCTCTGCACGTACATATGAGGCTTGGTGTTTGACTACAGAATGTGTTGCAGGAGTAGGTATAGCAATATTGTATGTAGTACTAAGTAGATGCATACTTTAGAATTCAGTTTAGTTAACGTCATTGCAAATGAAGTGGTCAACTTGTGGAAGTGTCTATATACTGGTTAGTTATGGAGCAAACAAACATACAACCATTTGCTGTTGCTACCTAGCTGGCTGGTTTGTAAGACATCACAAGATTCAGTCTGGCTTTTCTGATCAGTGTTTCTCTCTGATCCAAATTAAGCGGGTATTTTTGCTACTACTGCATCATACCAACATGTCTTTTGCACTTGCTTGTTCCAAAATAGGACCTATTTGTATACTTCATGTGAAAGAAACAGGACGACTTTGACCGTTATTTAAATAATATCAAACTAGACATACTCAATTATTTTCAAAATATAACAGGAGAGGTGTGGAATGTCTTTTGGTTTTTAAGAAGTAGCGTGGTTTGCCAAATGAGAAGATTTTGCATAGGGGTGAATGTTATATTTTTGGTGCTTTTGAAATTGTCAAAGAGTATAAATACAAACTTCTAAAAGGTAAAGGAGTGTTAAATCTATTACTGATAATTCACTTGTAAATCAAGTATCTTCAAATAATGCAAAGTCTTCCAGAAGACTTTGAGAGTGGCAGTTATTGAATGAGAGCACTGTCTTGGCCCCTGAAAGCTTGGAGTTGGTGCCTAGCCTTTCACTTGCATTGTAAAATTCCAGTACCCCATATTCTACAGTTGTTTTAATCCCATTTTTGCAGTTTGTCTACCTTCTCAGTAGAGAATTGGAATGCCAGAGTTCCCTTAGAGACACAGTGTTGCTGTACCTATTAAAAACCTGCAGAATTCAAGTCTGGGATCTGGACCTTGATGGAAATAGTCTGTGCATGTCCTAAGGAGCAGCCTCTGGCCTAAATTGCACACTGTCGCAGTACTCTGCGCAGCAGGATGGAGGGAGAGGGGAGCAGGACAGAGGCACGGGGAGGAGATTTGGCTTGCCCGGAGTATCAGGTGAAGGCTTTCTTGTGTCTCTTGATTTTTGGCAGCTAGCTTTCAAATGCTGACTTCAAAGCACTCAGGAGGGGTAAAAGCTGCTTGGTGCAGATAATGTTGGTGTTAGTTCTGACAATGATGACTACTTTAACTTCTTGCTCAAAATAATATATGTATTTGTGTTACAACTATTGTAAATGTTTTCAATACATAGCCTTATTTTGCAGATATGCTATATTGCAGTATGAGAACAGTAAAGTGTTCTTAAAAAACAAAGGTAACACTGAAGACTGAAGTTAATACAGCCAAGCCATGGAATGGAGAATTCAAGTTTTGTTGTTCTTTCTCTGCGTCTTGCTTTATTATAAAAATGTGGGATTTTCTTAGAGTTTAAGTAACAAAGGATGGAGTAACGCGCTTGGGTCTGTAATTTTAGACCTTTTGCCATTTCTTTTTAAAATGCTAGCACGGTTTTGGTGCAACTTCTGTGACTGCTTGTCAGTGTTGCCCTTCTTTTAATAAGGGTTTTGCCCTAGAATATGTGTACAGTCATTAAACCTGCTTATTTTAATGGAGACTTCATTCACATAGGAGAGACAAAAGCCAGAAATAGGAGTGTGCTGCTGAGAGCATTATCCTGGCTGTTTTGAAGTGCACTGTTAAGAGAACTCCTTGTAAGTTACAGTGAGGTTAGGGAGGGGGAATGGGATGGACCACACTGGGGCTCCCAGGGGAGATTTAAGAGCCTGCTGGAGGTCATTCCAAGCTATGGGCTGTTCAGCAATCATTCAGTTAACTCTATTATCCTCTAAATCAAGACTTGAACAAAATATTTTGAAGTCTGTTACCCTTCATTGCAAACTGTTGTAAGTTCATTGTTTGTTCCTATATTTGTTTCTGCAGTTGTGTGTATAAATGTGTATGCCAGCAGCATTCGGAACAGATGTATAGTGACCTAATAAAAAAGATAACTAACCACTTAGAGAGAGTCTCAAAGGAGCTGCAGGTAAGAAGCTGCACAATCTAATTCTGTCTTTCCTGGGATCTGTGATTATATCAGAGCAGCATGTAGATGGCCCATGGAGGGGATTGCCATTAAGAGTGATTTACACTAGCTTACTAAATTGTGGACTACTTCATTAACTAACTGTGTGTCAGACAGGGTACTAGATCCAATTGTATGGCACTGATTAGCCGTAGAGATCCAAACCACGTGCAGAGCAGTGGCTAAACTTGAATATGTAATATAGAATCAAAGACTAGAGAACGGGAAATCTACAGTATGATCTAGGATGTAAATGCTTCAGTCAAACATGATCTGTGCATGTGACGTGAATGTCTACCATTGCTGTGTTTATCTAAATGGTTTATGGTTGTTGTGCATCACAAGCAGTACAAAAGGGAAAATCTAAAGGAAATAATTAAAGTAATTAAATATGAATTGTGACATATAAATTAGGTATTGTTGTATATGAAAGTGTTGTGCTACGGTTTATTCTGCATTTTTCTTGCCTATCTCTAGATGTCAGTGGTTTACAGGAGTCCTAATACAGTTTGTATATCCGTGTCCTTCTCTGCATCTTATTTGTGCATCCATGTTTGTTTTCATGTGTGTTCCTTGTTGAAAATTCCTTTTGGACTAGAATCTTCAGACATGTTCTTGAAATTGTCACCGCTGTAGCAGCAACGCTATTTTACCTTCCTACAGCTTTTGTCACTTCCATAACTGATTTTTGAGTTCTGTGCTGACTTGAGGTGCATGAAGTAGAGACACCAAATACAAAGTAACCTGAAACAACTGCAGCTCCTTCAGTGCTTCTGACAACTGATAACTAATTTGTCAGTCGAAAGCAGTCTTACTACTTTTAACTACATCAGGTACTTCTGGCTAAACGTGCATTCCCATCAATATATTTAGCACTGTGATTGCTCTGATGTCCTTCTCATTTCACTCTTTTACTCTTGTTGCTTTACTTACAAAGAAAATCAACCACCCTGCATTTAATGGGCACGGTCTTTGGGGCAATCTTGGCTATAAACAGCTAGGTTGTCTTGAGCTAGGTTCTTTGCTGCTTTTTGCTTTTACAATTTCTTTTTCCCTTGTGGAAAGACAGTCTCACTGTTTTGTAGAAACTGCTTAGAGTAGGTGGAAATAGTATTTAAAATAAAGCCTGTCCTTGGTTCTGCAGAGCTGGTGCAGCCTGCACATTTTTCTTCTGATTGTGAGAACTATGAATCATTGCAGCTGTACAGGTTTGGCCAGTTCTTCTGATACATCCCATGGTAGTGTACTGTCTTACTTTGCTTTGAATTTGGGAATACCCCAAATTCTTTACTCTATGGTAGTCCTTGATTGTTTCCTATGAAGTTCCAAAACTGACTGAGGCGGCTGCTTTTAAAGTTTGCTTTAGCACATATGTGCATGAAATGCTTCTGCCTAAAACCAAGGCTGCCTTCTGAACATAAGCTGTTGAAAGAATAATTGAGACAACTATTTAATGCAATCTTTGTCTTGCAAAAGTTTCCTTATGTAGGTTAGACACACCTTGTGGCAGGTGGCAAGAGGACTGTAATATAACATGATATCATCTTTGAGTGTATTATGTGAGTTTTGTCTGATGCAAACATGACTTTGCTTTTGGATGGTAAATCCATCTTTTTGAGCTGCTTGAAGTAAAATTCATGTGCCTTAGAAAATTGTCCTGTAAAGAAACTGTTTTAACTGTGGGTTGTGAAATTTACTCTTACAAAATACTTTACTACAATGCATTTTATTATCCTGATACGTCTTTGATCTTAATACATTTTGGTGACACTCAATTACTTGGATTTTACATTCAAAATGTGGTGTTAGATTTTTACCCTAAAAAGAACAAATTACTTTGTAAACGCTGATCACTTGGAGGCTTCTGGTTCACGCAGGCAAACAATAAAAAAAGCTATATATGTCAAGCCTTTTAATGCACAGTATGTGATGTTTTGCCTTCTCTGACATAAACTCATTCCACCTGCCAACAGCATTTAATCTATTTG